GAGCTCGCGCACCACCACCGCATCCACTCGGGCGAGCGCCCCTACCAGTGCCCCTCGTGCAGGGTGCGCTTCACCGAAGCCAACACCCTGCGGCGGCATTACAAACGCAAACACCCGGAGCTGGTGGGGATGCCCGTGCGCCTGTGCCCCCCAAACCCGAGGCCCCAGCCGCTGTGGGATGACGACGACGACGACGAGGAGGGTGTCCCCGTTGCAGAAAGGGTGCAGGAGGAGAGCCCCGAGGGAAAGGGGCCGGCTTCTCCCCTGCCTGGGTTTACAGCGGGGAGTTCGGCTGCGGCTGGGCGTGGGCAAGGAGGCCAAGACACCCTCATTTCTGGTGATGTTTCCATCACGGAAGGGGGTCAGAAGCAGGGGCCTAGACCTCTGGGTCCTGATGCCGTGCAGCACCCTCCTGCGGACTGACGGGCTCTGGGAGGCACGGGCTGCGGAAATAAATCCCTGCCTCCTGACTTCCAGCGCGTGCTCAGTCGTGGTGCCTGTCCCTCTCGGTGGTCCTCTGCTGCTGACCCCGCTGTGCTCTGTGTGTGCGTGCGTGTGTGCGCGTGTGTGTGTGTGTCTCTGTGTGTGAGTCTGTGAGTGTGTGTGTATGTGTGTGTCTGTGTGTGCGTGTGTGTGTGCGCGCGTGTGTGTGTGTGCGCGCGTGTGTGCGTGTGTCTGTGTGTCTGTGTGTGAGTGTGTGTGTGTGTGCGCGTGTGTGTGTGTGTGCGCGCGTGTGTGTGTGTGTGCGTGTGTCTGTGTGTCTGTGTGTGAGTGTGTGTGTGTGTGCGTGTGTGTCTGTGTGAGTATGTGAGTGTGTGTGAGTATGTGTGTGTCTGTGAGTGTGTGTGTGCGCGTGCGTGTGTGTGTGAGTGTGTGTGTGTGTGTGCGTGTATTTTAAGTCTTTCAAGGATCCCATTCAGTAGTAACTCGAATTTCATCCAGAGTAAATAGGGAGCGATCCCTCTGTGGCTGTGCTTGGTCACCACACTCTCGGGACCACAGCCACAATCGTTCTGCACAGTCTGAGGCGGAACTGCCGGCAGGACTGCCTACTTCCCCACAGCCTGGGAGTGTGTTTGTGTGTGTGTGTCTGTGAGTGTGTGTGTGTGTCTGTGTGTGTGAGTGTGTCCGTGTGTGTATGTGTGTGTGTGTGTGAGTGTGTGTGTGTGTCTGTCTCTATGTGTGTGTGTGTGTGTGTCTGTCTGTCTCTATGTGTGTGTGTGTGTGTGAGTGTGTGTGTGTGTCTGTGTGTGTGTGCGTGTGTGTGTGTGTGTCTGCACAGAAGCCCATCTCACACAGCTCCTTAGCGTGGTGCCAAAGAACCAGCGGCTTGCATCAAGCCTTTGCCCAACCCGATCCCCAGCAGACACAACAACATTTAACCTGCTATGCACATGTGATTCCGGGCCCTCCATCCTAGCTGAAATCCCCAGCAAGTCTACACCGGGACGCTTCTTGCTCCAATTCCTCCTCCAGAGGACTTGCTACTTGGAAGGAGAAAAAAAAAAACAAAACTAACTAAATCGGGCAGGGGGTGTGGGGCTTGAAGTTTAAACTCAGTGGAAACGCAGCCTGAAAGCACAAGGCCCTGGGTTGAGTGAGCATCTAGCTAGAGCGTGGGGTGAGGAGGGCGAGCGGAACTGACCATTTAGATTTAGAATTTAGACAGACACATGTGAGCTCCAGGGGAGGACGGGGACTAAGATGAGGTGCAAAACGAAAACGTGGGCAGTAAAAACTAGGTTGCGGCTTAGGAAAGGAGGCTGCAAACTGGGCTGAGGGTCACAGAGCTTTAGGCTTGGCTGGCAGAAAGCAAGCTAAAGGGTGCGGCTAGAAAGAAGTATTTAAAAAAAAAATGAAGCAGTGTTCAAGACTGTTGTTGTTAAAGATCTTTTAATATAGGCTGACGAAGAAAGTAAGGCATGCCGGGCGGTGGTGGCGCACGCCTTTAATCCCAGCACTCGGGAGGCAGAGGCGGGAGGATCTCTGTGGGGTCGAGACCAGCCTGGTCTACACAGAGAGTGCCAGGATAGGCTCCAAAGCTACACAGGGAAACCCTGTCTCGAACGCCCCCCCAAAAAAAGAGAGAGGCGTGCATCAAAAGTGTTTCAACTCGGATCTCTAACCCCCCCTCCCAAGCTCTCTATTCAGGAAGTGTGGGGTGTGAGCATCGTGCTGGTTGATG